GACATATACACAGACACCACACGTGCCTGTCCTTTAAACACCACTTTAGCAATCAGCAGAAGTAAAGGCCTTGTGTTGCGTTTGGTGACAAACGCTGCATTCTAAGCAGACACGCTGGCTGCCAGCATCTCAGCATTTACCCACGAGGCTGCCGGTCGGCCCTTCCACAGTCAACAGAATGAAAACAAATGCGTTTTATGTTAGTAATAGCTTACGTTTCCTAAACTATTCACAAAACAAGTTCATTCTCTTTCTACAGAAAGGCAATAACCCACCTCTAATGTTCTAGATGGTTCTCATTAGATTGATACTGTAGTTACCCCTTTATACTTACTAGGCCATTGCTCTGATCTCTGGACAAATTCGATTTTACTGTTGGACGTGAGATGAGATGTTGGGAGCCGCCAGGGTAATACCGTGGCGTGTAAAGGTAAGGGGCAAAGAATGGCTATGGAAAAAACACGTAACAAAAGAGTGGGATAAACAATCACGGAAATCAAAGGTAATGAGACTTATCAAATGAAACTAAACAATAACATACAGACTTTAATGCAAGTGACAAAACAAAAGAAAAAAGCCTTTCTCATATTCTGTCAGATACCAAACCCCAAACTTGACATATCACTTAAATTGTTACACTGTTGATTTACTAAAAGCTTTTTTTTTAAGCAACTAGTTTTACAACTTATAATTTGACACACGAGTTTCTCTTTATATTAATAATTTTATGGGCTAATTACCAAGTGTCTGGTTCTAAATGATTTATAAGTATTAACACAATCTCTTATAAAAAAGCAGAATGGAATCTTAATAGAAAACTATTCTTTACCGAAAAAAAAAAAAAAAAAAAGGTTAGCCTTAAGTAAGACCAAAATAGTCTGGACGATGTGAAAACAGCCTCCGTGGCCCCCAGGAATACCTGCTAGCCCAAGTTCCTGGGGTTTCGCTAGCTCTACGTAAGCAGGCGTATCTTCAATGGGGAAGCCATTGTTCAGGCGAGTTGTAGCTACAGCTTTTATTTGTAACAAGTTTCTTGTTAACAGGAGCTGTCAGATTCTATGGGCTAAAGGCAAAGATTAGAGTTCTCCAAGCTTCATACACTAAAATAACCGTTTTCACTCCTACCATTATTCTGCTTTTACTTTCTGATTAAAAACCTCAAATAACTAGAAAAAAAAGTAACTAAAACCATGAGAGAATTTTAAATGTTTTAAAAGTAATAAAATGTTATTAAAGTATCACATGATTGTTATTCACATGAAATCAGTGAACATGAGGTCTCAGCCTAAATGGTTTGGTAATTTTTTAAAAAAATAGCTTCATGGTCGCAAAGTTCAAGTGTCCTCTCCTGACCCACAGAGCTGTTTAATCCCATCTCGGCAGCTTTGGGGCCTGGGAGGTAACCCGGCACCGCATGCCGAGTGCGCCGCCGAAGCGTGCAGCCAGCACCCCTGGTCCAGGCGAACAGCGGCCCGCGTTCCGAGCACCAAGGGTGTGCGGCTAACGACTCACGTGGCCAACGCTTTTAACCAACGGAAAATGTAACTGGAATTCTGGCTCTAACCCCTCTCCCTGGCTCACGTGGACTTCGTGTGCCATGCACTTGGCTTCGGGAGACTAGCCCGTGTTTTCTTGCCTTAGACTGAAGAGGGAGACACAGAACTGAACTGGGCAGGGTCCGGACCCCGGGGCACTCGACGGTGCTCCCCTCTCTCCCAGCAGGACTCACGTGCTGCCCGAGTCGCAGTCACGTGCCGAGGCGACGTGAACCAGACGGGAATGGCTGTGGCGCCGTTACGCGGCCATGTCGCCTGAGCCCCACGCCATGTTTCCCATCAGCGTCTCCATGTAACAGCTGCACCACATACTGAGTACAGGGTTACTGAGCTCCTGCAGAAACTGCTGTTTACCTTGTTCCAACGCCCACGTGAATGACACGCAAAATGCGCAAGTCCACAGGGCAGGCCCTGCAGCAGCCTCAGGGCTCGCTCTCCTTCGAGGCTGGGAAAGCGAAGAGCCAAGAGCGTCCCAACACTCAGACTCAACTGACACTAAGACCCATTAAAGTGTAGACTTCTTCTAAGTTTAAAACATCGTCTATGTTACATTTAAACTTAACTTTTCCCAATTTTAAAGCTAAAGTACAGTTTCAAAATAATCACAGAACCCTCAGCAGAAAACTTCTGCTATTTCCCCGGCCCAGTTCTGAGACGAGACTCGCCTCCTGCTCACCCTGTTGTAGAAGGGGTGCTGGGGCCCCGTCATCCCGCTGTAGTAGCTGCTGTGCGGCTGTGGGGACACCACCCCCGCTGCGAAGGGGCCGTTGAAGGAGGTGGACGAGGAGCAGACGGACGGGGCCTGGCTGTAGCCGGACGCGGGCCTGGGGGCAGCTTCGTGTAAGGGCAGCGGGGGATACGCCAGGCCTCCGATGTTAATCTGCTCTCTGGCGGCACGGACATCTGAAAGGTGAAGTGGTCCCGAAGGAAGAGAAAGTGGGACATTAGTCGTCAGAGCAGCTAGCACCTGCTCCTTCACTGGCTCAGTGGATAGAGCGTCGGCCTGCGGACCGAAGGGTCCCGGGTTCGATTCCGGGCAAGAGCACGTACCTTGGTTGCAGGCTCTTCCCCAGCCTGGGCCCCGGTCAGGGCTCGTACAAGAGGCAACCAATCCATGTGTCTCTCACATGATGTGTCTCTCTGTCCCCCTCTCTCCCACTCTCCCTACAAACATCCTCGGGTGAGGGTTAAAAAAGGAAGGAAGCGGGTTCTGCCTGTGCGGGGGAGGCAGACACTCGGGAGCTCAGCCCGCGAGAGGAGCCCGCGCCCCCGCACGCAGCTTCTTGCTCCACCCGACCTCTCTGGCGAGCCACCAGGACACATTTCCTCTGCCTCGCCCAGCTGCTGGCTGTGCTGCCCTGACATCCTTACGGCTCAGCGTGGGCACGGACGCCCTCACCCTCGCCCAGGGACTGGGCACAGGGCCAGCAGAGACCGCTGGGAAGCGCACAGCATGCCCACCTTGAACAACACAGCCCTCCGCCCCAGAGCAGAACGTGGGGGGCCCGGGCTCTCTCCCCACCATTCCTGGAAACTCGGGCTGGGCCGAGAGGGCCCGGTCATACGAAGGCCATGCGTTTCTGGAGGCTGTGTCTGCGCCTCTGTGCACAATGGTGCCTCAGGACGACTTATATCATCCCCACAACTTCCTGTCACTGCCCCCCCCCCCCCCGCCATGCCAGTCCCCAGGCTCAGGACGAAGGCTCCATGCCCTCCGGGTGAGAGCCACTAGGGACAGAAGAGGGGAGAGAGGACAGTCCAGTGACGACAGCCACGGTGGGGCCCGACGTGGACGGGAATGGTTCCAAAGCAAGGAGCGGGCTGGGTGGGGAGCTAACCAACAGCCCTTTCTTCCCGCCGCCCCAGGACCCCACGCCGGGCACTGTCCTCCCTCGAAGACGGGGCTCAGCGTTTCTGGGTTTCACGGCGCAGGAGGAACTTACAGAGCTGTTAAAAATGGGAAACATTTGAGGGCTTCCGAGAAGGAAAACTAACGTTCCGCTGGCACCCACCGGCGATGATCTCCCGCAGCTTGGGGTCCAGGTTCACGGTGCAGGGCAGGAAGGTCTTCACGTCTCGAGCCACCAGCACGGGCGTCCGCGAAGCCAAGAACACCTCGAAGTTCCTGATGTCCCCGTCTATCTCCAGCAGCGGCTCCACGTCCTTAGTCGTCGGAATGTTCTTTGAGATTCTTCAGACGAGAAAGAAATGAAAAAGATCATTAATGTCACCATGAGAAAGGCAAATTCTACATAAAAATAAATCGCACGTTACATACTTTGCTGCCATCAAAATCTTTTTAAAGAAAAAAACAGGCGGCACAGTTACAAAGTAGTGAAGAAACGAGTGGGTGTGATGGGACTGCCTTTGACGACCAGGACGCCGTGGGCCAGGAAAACAGGCCGGACGGAACGCGCAGCTCACGCGGACGGCACCTCCCGGGAACAGTTAAGGGGCAGCTAATCGGCCGCCTGGAGCCACAGGACCAGAAAAGCGAATCTGACTGGCTCTCAGGCCTGCGCCTGCACAGGGGACCATGGGTCTTACCTTTGCAAAGAGACATAAAGAATAATGTCTGAATAAATTACACAAACTAGAACGTTAGCACAGATTTTGTTTTAGGAAAGGCTTTGTTTTCTGTTGTAAAGGAAATATGTACTTACTACTGCACATATTTAAAAGGCAGAGGAACAGAGGGAAACAGAGGGACAAGCATCATCTCACCAATGGACATAGTGAGTACTGACCCAGCGTGTCACCGAGCATTTAAATAGCACAATAATGCTTATTATGCAGGATTTTTACACAGTTGAGTTCATATAGGTAAACACTTTTGTATCAGGCAGAGGTCTTGCATGTAAAAAGCAATATTCACTAAAAAATAGCAAACACTTTTTTGTCAAACTATATAGAAGGGCCATTTTTATAGGCCTCATGGTCACCGCCATCCTGGCGAAGCCCACCACCACCTGTGGAAAGACAACCAGGAACTCGAGGCGGGAGTGGGCTGCCCTCCGTCCTAACGCCATGGCCTGCGCATCCTCTGCAGCCCGGCGCCACCCGCGGGGTCCTCCCGGGACCAGGGGCTCCTCTAGGACAAGCCTCCCAGCACAGACGCGCCCTTCACACCACACCTCACAGGGGACGCCAGCCGTTCGTGGGAGCCCTGCATTGTCCCGTCCCTCAGACTGCAGGAGCCGGTAGTGCCAGTGAAGCCGGGACAGGCGTGGTCTGCTCGCCATCGTACCTGCGGGCCTGGCGCGAATGCCTGCTTTCTACTCCTGCCTGATACACATTTGTAGAGTCAATAAACTACACAAGAAAATATGTTGCTCCCAGTGAGCTCTAGGCTTTTAAAATAATTTTCACTTCAATGATCCTTTCTTAGACAGAAAAAACCTTGTACTTGGGAAAGTGTACAACGATCCATTTCGAGTTCATTTTTGTACATGATTTGAATTTTTAAATTTCCTCTTCCTTTTCCTCAAAGGCTCTTAAGGTATTTCCTCTTCCCTGTGTAGGTATTCACGGTCGGAAATGCCCGAGCCCTGCCTGTGCAGCAGCCCCCCTCAGCTGTGATCACTCCGAGGATCCACAGAGCAACACCTCGCCAGCGATCCCACAAGGCGCCCCGTATGCAGGACAGAACGTGAGCCGGGCCCGGCCGCTGAGGAGGAGGAAGCGGTGACGCTACACCTGCCGCGGGAGGAGCCGCGGGCACCGAGCAGCTCCCAGGCGAGCAGCCGAGGAGAGGAAGCAGCGAGGCTCCTGCCCGTGGGGGCAGAGCTGCCTCATCCTCACTGCTGCCCACGCCCCGAGCCCACGAGCTGCTGCATCAAGACCCTGGGCCACAGCCCCGCACTGCGCACAGGGCACAACGCCGCCCTCGCCTTCGGGCGTGTTTCTGATTCCAGGCATGTAACGTGTTTGACTCATGTGTTCACTGACGTCTACCCAGAGTTAAACAAGCCAACATGAAAGCACTTGTCTAAGCTGCCACAGCCATCACTGGCGGAGCTCACCGGCTCCACGACAGCCAGAGGCATGGGGACTGCAGCCTGGGGAACAGTCAGTGACGTCACAGGAACCACGGCCGGGGCCAGGGGGGCACTAGACACACGGAGGGGCCCTTCTGTAAACTTGTAACTGCCTAACCACCACGCTGTGCGCCTGGAACCAACATAAAACAATACTGAGTGTCAACTGTAATTGGAAAATAAAAAATACGCATGTAATAAAAGAGACTGTCGCACACTAGAGGCGAAGGCGCTGAGGGGACTAACACATGGACCCGTGTTACCAGGTGGCCTGGCTTTTACCGCCTTTTTTTTAAACAGATGTAGAGAAGCTTCCCCTCCATCCTCGTGGGCACATGTAAAGGCCTTCATCGTTTTTCTTTAATCCAGACGGACACTTTTTCATTCACAAAATTACACAAGCAAGTGCCCCGCCCCCTAGGTGCCAGAGCGCAGACTGAGAACCAGTGAGAAAGGCACGATGAGGGGCCAGGGACCGGCCGTGGGGACGCAGGCCCAGCACCCCAACCAGGAATTCACCGGAGCATCTCCACGACTTACTGGTGATTCGCCCGTGAAGCCAAACCCCCATTCATCTTCCCAGCGCCTGGATCAGACGAACTGAAAACACCGGCCACAGCAGAGCAGTTCACACCTGCCGCTCAGGGTCAGGTGGTCTGGGTGCCACGCCACCAGGCCCACGCGGGGCACAGGTGGATGTCCCGCCCACGAGGATCGCAAGTCACACGCACGCTTCAGCGTGATCCTCTCCAGAAGAGCTCCTTTTTCTCGCTAACTGAATTTATTAGGACGTGTTATAACTCGCATCGATTAATTTATATTCATTCTGCTTTATTTGTTGGGATTCTGCAGAAGATTTGATTTGAAAAGGTCCCCAGTGGGGAGCCACAGCCTGAGGCGGCCTCAGCACTGGCAAGTGCTCGCATCGCTCCAGGCCGCGGTGACAGGGAGACCAGCAGAGGCCGAGAGCCGACTTCAGAGCCCCTCCCTGAAAGCAGTGCTCTCAGCACAGCCAGGCTCCCGCCATGGCCTTAGAGACGCCCCCACGCAAGAGGCCAGACCCAGTTTCCATGGCGGCTGGGGAGGTGCTGCCCAGCGGAAGGGTGTTCGTGGTGCTGCTGCCTTTAAGAAACCTCGGAGAGTTTTACGTCAGTCAGACAGAGAAAGCAAATGTTTGCAATACAACGCTGAGTAACAGGGGTAGAGAATGAGGCACGGACCAAGCCGCCCGGGAACATCTCAGGCTAAAGCAAAACCCCATTACCCAAGTTCCCTTAAAGACTTAATGTCGAGTAAGTACAGGACCCAAAGTCTACAATGTTTAGGGTTTAACATGTTTAAACGTAAACACAAATTTGTAAGACCAATAAAAACTCCTTTTTTCATCTCCATCCCTTTCCCAAACGTTAATCGAAAAGGGTTTCAGAAGAAAGGGGCACATCAAGCTTTAAAACGTACAGGGTCAGGCGACGTTCATCTGCCTGCAGCCATGAATCTCAGTGCTTACCAGTGTCCTGCGAAGCCATCTGAAAAGGAGCTAGAAGTGGAAACTGAACTCGAGAGTTTGAAATACTCATTGAACTCAGGGTTCCCTTGTCTTTCTGCTGCGAAAGGGAGAGCAAATGCACGAGGCCGTGGCTGTGTCTGGTGGAACACTGCCGCCTTGTGGATTTCGTGGATATTGCTACCGGGCCACTCAGCGCGGCTTTACATCAGCACCTCACCTTGCCTTTCATCAGCTGGCATTTTTGTTTCTTTTGTTTACTCTCATATTGTGAACAATATAAACACACTTTTGCTTGAAATTCCGAGATCACAAGCCTCCGCTGAAAAACATCAGTTCAGGGGAAATCGGCCTCTACTTGATCTCTAAGGCACATTTCATGTTCTGGTGAATTTGAATCCTTCAATAATCAGATTTATTTTTAAAATGTAAACATGCATAATAAATATTGTAAGATATAAAATATTACAAATATTATAAGTTATAAAACATGTATTATAAGATAAACTCTAAATCTGCAAGGGTAATGACTTTTTACATATTAAAATATATATGTGAGAGAAACTGATTTTGCTATTTCTGCTTTCAAATAGCCTTAATTAATGTACTTGCATTTTCCATGCTGAAGTTAGAAACACACACTTTGGAACATTGAAAATCCTTCCTCTGTTCTACATTAGGATTAGATACTAAAAATGGCGTCGTGACAAGTTTAATGAGGACGTATTTTAAAAACCAATTTTACCCACAGAAAGGAAAGCAAGGGACTGAGAAGCCACCTAGGAGAGGATGGCAGGCACTCGGCACCCATAACGACGGCGCGAAGGCTGAAGCTGGCAGATGCGCCAGCTGTTCCAGTGGAGCTGTCACAGCTGAGTGTTTCACGCTCTCCACCCAAAACCTCCTGCAGCTCCAGGACACACTCATGATTTTGCAAAGATCAGGCCACCTTTATAAAAGATAAGGTATTGATAAAACACGGAACCTGGAATAAAGTATCTGCATTATAAATACGTTACAGGCAAGTGTGTTCTTGGAATAAAGATGGAGCCAGTAATTACACACAAGACAGCCATTTAATGATCTGAGTGAGCACCTACAGGGAAGTCACACCGCCGTGAGGAGACAGAACTGCCGTAACGTACTAAACTACACACAAAAACACCAACGGCACACGTGGAACAGTGTTTGGAATAACTATTTACAGTATCTCAAACCTAAACGAAAGGAAAAAATCGTCAATACAAGGATATAGTTTGTACTAAAAGGAAAGAACTTTTTCACAAATCTAAACAACTAGTGTCCACTGTTTCATGCTGTTCAAATTCATACTTTTTTTATATTTTATTGATTTTTTACAGAGAGGAAGGGAGAGGGATAGAGAATTAGAAACATCGATGAGAGAGAAACATCGATCAGCTGCCTCCTGCACACCCCCTACTAGGGGTGTGCCCGCAACCAAGGTACATGCCCCTGACCGGAATCGAACCTGGGACCCTTCAGTCTACAGGCCGACGCTCTATCCACTGAGCCAAACCGGTCAGGGCTCAAATTCACACTTTAGGTCCACGTGCAGAGAAACAAACTCGTGCGTAATCGGGGCCACATTCAGGGGCTGGAGGTCAACTAACCATCGCCCGGAACACGAAGGGAACAGGAGGTGGTGGGTGAGAGCTGAGAGGCGTCAGAGGCGTGAGAGGCGTGAGATGCCGAGAAGCGATAAAGTTAAGCTTATGAAAACTCTGCTGAGTATCAGGCAGAAATATCATGATGTGATGTTTTGTTGTATAAATATCTTCAAGTATAGAAATAGCACTACTTGAATAATTTAAAAATACCAAACTCCTGGCTGGCGTTGCTCAGTGGTTGGAGCCCAGCCTGAGCACCAAAGGGTTGCAGGTTCGATTCCCGGCCCTGGTTGGGGTATGTGGGAGGCAACCGTTTCTCTCTCTCTCTCTCTCTCTCTCTCTCCCCTTCCTCTCCCCTTCCCCCCCTCTCCCTCCTTCCCTTCCACTCTCCCTGAAAAGTCAATGGAAAAAATATCTCCAGGTGAAGATTAACAAATAAATAAATAAATAAGTAAATAAAGATACTGAATTTAATATAAAGGCATCTATAATGCCTGTTCAACAAATAGCTGTTTCAATGAAATGAAAGATGGCTGCCATTCTCAGGCACTCAAAATGCATTTGATCATTTTTAAAAATGAATATGCAGAATCAAATAAAGGTTGGCATTACCCTTATCACAAAACTATTCTGACCATAGCATCCTGAGTAAGACTTCTTAAGCAGTGTCAAAACAAAAATTTTAAACATTATCTTCACAAAAATTCTTAAAATTGATCTTTTCAAAACCTCTATCATTGCTTAAAATGCTTTCTAGAAAATATGAGAAATAAAGTTTTATAACTAAAATATTTCAGTGGCTGTGTAAAACACTATAATAAAAAGTCGACAGAAGATCTTAATCTACAGTTTTAATTTTACTCCCTTTCTTCTTACTAAATATATGTTAACAAAAAAACACCCCTCAAATGATCGAGACAAAAGCTTTTAGCTCAACACATAATTGCAAGGAAATTACAATAATTGTACCAATTAAAATAATCTTGAATGAACAGTATGTCATCTTAATGTTCCAATGGTTTATAGAGGGATCTACTTAATTAGCTAAAATTGCTTTTCAGTGTTATATCAAATGTCATTTGTTAAAAGTTGAACAATTTAGAAAATAATTTAACAAAGCAATTTTACCAAACACTAAGAGCCAACATTTTCTTTTTCAGCGAATAAAGCAAGCAGCTGTGTCATCAAATTGCTATAAAAGTAAATGAGGCTTTTTATGGATTAAAAAAATTTTACTACTAGCGTTAAAAACACTATTTTCTGATTGTTTTTACCAAGTCAGAATTCTTTAATAAAATAAATGAATATCAATTATATACTGCTTTTTGTCTGCTGTAAATAAAACTTTTTATTTAAAGGACAAACAATGGCATCAAAGAACTCAACTACAGTTAACTAGAAACAGTCATCGATACTATTCTAACATATTCCAACATGATTTTTCAATATGTTGATCAAATTCTCTTCCCATAGTTTTTCATTCAAATCATCTTAAATTTAGTTCTTTTGAGTCAAGTTCTTCATGAATTCTCCAAGACTCTCACTTCTCTTCCTTAAAGCATCTACAAAGCATTTGTAAGTATTTGTAGGTGTATAAGACATATCTATTTCTTAAAAGAAAAAAAGGGGGGGCACCTCAAAATCACCCTGAACCCAACCCGCTCACAGATGGCAGCCCCCGCAAGCTGAGGTCTGAAGGACGGGAAGTAAGTGGCAGACAGTCTCCCCATCTCATGACACCTCCAGCATGAACATTCTACATTTACTTGAACAAAATCCCCTATAAAAACGCACTCTACACTATTTTACTTGTATAATAAAAATACTCCTCAAAACATTTCTTTGGCAAGTGTTCTATTTCACAAAATGAAAAAAGTACTATTCTCTTTAAACTATAGGTGATACATTGTCTTTTGTCCTTAAGCCATATAATTAAAACTGTCATTTTTTGAAGATTTCCCTGAACATCAGGAAGTCATATAGCTAGAAGCGCTCAAATGAAAATCAGGGTGAACGCTTTCAGCAGCAAGCAATCCTCTATCGGCAAAGAACAGCACTTTCAGCCCGAAAGCTTTCCATCCCCAAAGAACCGGTAGCCCGATCCTGACAACACCTGATTGGCTGGCTGAACCCCAGGTGGCTGCTCCTCCAGTCCTGTCTAAAGTGAACACGAACTCCTGGACGCGCACAGGGTAAGAACAAAGCACGTGTGTGGAGTGACCCTCTAGTGGCCCAGGAGAGGGTCTTTATATAGTCCACTCCCAGGGCGCCAGGTGCCGTCTACATCTGTCCCTCACCCCACGCACCCACCTCCTGGCCCGCAACACACAGAGGCAAAAAGGACAACCACTTAAGCTCAGTTAAAACTCACCCTACACCCACATCAAGTGAAGAAAGCGACTGAATATAAGCAAACAGTAAGTTCCTTTATTATTTAATGCAAAGAATCTGCTCCAGTCAGTATTCACAGTTTCTAAAACCCTTCAGATTAAAGCTGAGAAATACTTGTACCAATGATCTGGAAAATGTAACCTCCTTAATAGTCCATGAAGACACTTAGAATAAAAAATAAACTGGAAACAATAATAATGTCGTAGGCACTGCATTTCGTAGATATAAGCACATAAAGCCGCGAGGACTGTTAATTACACATTTTATCACATTAGGTCGCACTGAAAAAGGAAGCTGTAAATGTCATCCGATGGGAATTACACTTGTGCTAATACAGCTCCCAAAGTAAATGAATTAGTGAGAATCCTCCATTGAATTTGGAAGCGTCCATTTTATACATACTGTTTTGTATTCATTTTGCTTTATATGCATTAACTTTTTTCTGAAAAGTCAATTCGATGTAAAACCAAGTTAAACATAAAGAGATTCAGTACCTTTCATAGATGGTTTTCAGCGTCATCTGATCCGGAATCCCTTCCGTCTCCTCCAGGTACAGGATGAGCCAGGACGTGCGGTACGGCCACTGCTCTGTGAGGTTGATCCAGCTGGCAAGGCGGTCCCAGTTAAAACTAATCTGATTGGCTCTCAGCAGCCGCCCTTTAAGGAGCGCAAGAACATTTGTGAATTAATAGACGTGTGATGTTATGCTAAGCAAAACATTGAGCATAGTCACAAATCATTTAATGTCCCTAAATCTTTAAAATTTGCCATTTAATTTACACAACATATTCACACTACCTAAATGTAAATCTCTATATATAAAAGCCTAAGCGACTGACTGTTAGACTGGTCGCTATGACGCACACTGACCACCAGGAGGCAGACGTTCAATGCAGGAGCTGCCGAGCTGTAGTGACTTGGCAGCTGCAGTGAGTTGGCAGCTGTGGTTCTCAGGTGACGCACCGGGAACCAGAGAGGAGGGAGCCCAATTCCAGGGTGTCACCCGAGAACCGCCCTCTCGCAATCCGGGACCCCTCAGGGGATGTCGGAGAGCTGGTTTCGGCCCGATCCCCACAGGTCAGGCCAAGGGCCTCTGCTGTGTGTCTATATAGAAATATATATATTGTAGAATCCAGAGAGCTCTACTGGAAAGCTCCTAGAATTACACCCAACTCTGTTGAATTCTAAGGTGATTTCCCACTGCTGCTGCCCTGACCACACCCACGCAGCCACAGTCTTTCAGAACCGTGTGTCAGAGAGGACAGTGTGGACACTGCCCCCACCACACAGCAGAGCAGTTGCTGCTCCTGCGACAGCCCATCCTCCAAGCAGTGCAAGAGCCCGCTGCTGGCCTTGAGCAACAGCCGTGCGGCCACTCTCGCTCTCGTGTGGGTGAGTGTGCGAGCCCCACTTTCATTTCTAGGGCTGAGGTGCCTCTGGGAACGACCAACCAGGTGGTTATGATGTGTTCCCTAACCCTGTCCACCCGGGATTCTCTGGGAACCTGCTCACATTCCGCACGGGGAGAGCTTACAGGTGGGCAGCTACAATCCTTAATCTTTTAAAACTCATGCCTTGTTTCGCTGCCTCATCATTTTATCCCTGATTTTGTTGGGATTCTGAACCGCAGATATTTTTGCTTTTTAATTTTGAACATTATCCGTTTTACTTGATCATTATCAGTTTATATCAGTTGTTCTGGCTCAGATGAATTCTCCCTCCCCTACAACTACTATACAGACCCCCACCCAACTCTTCCTGCCTCACCCCTCGGCCTGTCTGCCCGGCCACGTGACACTGCAGCACCGGGGCTGGGCCCCTCTTCCTTGGAAAGGGGTTCTGGTCGCTGGACCAGGGACAGGGCCGTTGCCTTCCACTCAATTAAACCTGAGAGGAAATCAGTGGCCTCTTTAACTTGTCACATCCTGAAATAACAGTGCACACTGATGGCTGATTTTTGTTGTCAAAACTCACTTTGGTTTTACTAAACACCCTTAAACCAAATACTACGCCTTCAGCAATGCAAACACCCAAGCACAGGACGTCCCTCTGCTCCTGGGACTGAGCTGCTCTGATCCCATGAAGGCTTGTCTGCGTGAGACAGGAGGAGACAAGTCACCTGTCACAGAAACAATGTTGAGGAGCCTCCGCATGGTCTGAGGACTGATGTCACTGAACCAGTCCTCCGTCACCAGCAGCTTCGTCAGGTCGAAGGACATCTGCCGCGTGATGGTCCGCTGCATCTGCCTCCTGCGGTAAGTGTCCTGAGGAGCAGAGCGCGAGTCACCTGCACGCCGGGCTCGGCTCCTGCGACACTAACACCGGCTTATGACGCAACAGCAACAAACCGCACCCTGCAGGCCAAGGGCGGAATCGCACCCGCCAGGAGCCACCTTACTCCGAGGGCTCAGGCCTTAGAAAACACGGCCGCAGGCGTCCCGGGCCCTGGCACGCTGAGGGAATGAGCTTCCCAGTTGTGCGGCCGAGCGAGCTCGGTGCCTGGGAGATCACACGCAAGCAGGACTCCACACGGAGAATTCAACTCGGACTCCAGGAGCTCAGGCTCACAGGAGCCCTGAGGTGACGAAGCCATAACTCCTTGCGGGGCTTTAAGGTCCAGCATTTCCCAGGGCAGATACTCGGCACGGGAGGTCACACCCTGCTCCTGACTTAGCGTCAGCGGCCACTCATCACGTTAATTTGCATCCGTATTTGCACAGGGTAGAGGCATAAAATCAGAATGTCAAAATGTCACTGAAGACATTTTTAAATGCCAAAGACCCAAATTTAATGGTAACAATCTTAAAACCAAACAAAAAACCACATAAAACAGTGCCAATCAGCGCCAGCCCACCTAGCCGTCCTCAGTGCTCTGCAGCCACGGCGGCCTGCACCGGGCCGCTTCCTGGCCTGGTGCGCTCCCTGCTCCACACGGAGAGAGGTCTGGGAGTGGGCAGGACAGGGAAAGCAGAGGGTCAGAGACCCACGGTGGGCACAGCACCCTGGAGAGGAGGAAGGCCTCCCTCCCCTCAGCTGTGGTGGCCACGGGCACTGGGCGACACCGTCGTGCTCACTGGGTCTGGGTCCGGAGCGGCGTGTGGCCTGAGGACCGGCTGGGAGGGACAGGGCTCCTGCGTTAGTCACTGTGGCTGTAGGGTCAGACATGCCCGCAAAGCCACTGACGCGGGAAGGAGTCCAGTGAGAACATGCATTGGCCGAGCTTGGTGCACTGTTTACAAAAGGTGATTTAGTGCCATCAGCTCAGCTTTGAGTAACAGCAACACAAACACGGGGCTCAGAAGAGACGGCGTCTCACCCGTCTGTTGAGGGCTGTCCTGCTGCCAAGCTTCGCCATGTCTCCAAGGCTGATCTGTGAGACTCTTCTGTCGGCGTCATCCTGTGTCCCTTCGAGAGTTTACCGAGAGCACCGTTAGCACAGCCTTCTGCTGCGGGACCGCTCAAGGGAAGCCCGCCTGCAGCCTGCCAGGTGAAGGCGAGCCACACACACAGGACTGCACCCACCCCCCTGCCAGGTGAAGGCGAGCCACACACACAGGACTGCGCCCACGCACCCACCTCCCTGCCAGGTGAAGGTGAGCCACACACACAGGACTGTGCCCACCGCCCTGCCAGGTGAAGGTGAGCCACACACACAGGACTGCGCCCACGCACCCACTGCCCTGCCAGGTGAAGGCGAGCCACACACACAGGACTGCGCCCACGCCCAGGGCTGGCCGGTACCTGCGGCGTCCGGGCAGGGGATGTCCCCGTTGGTGGTGGAAGTGACGAGGTACTTCTTGGCGCTGCTCAGCCCGCGGCTGTTGAGGAACACGGGCAGGTGCACGATGTTGCGCATGTAGTCGTGGCCGTTGATGTTGGAGTCGCGCAGCACGCTGTTGAGGTTCTGGTTGATGGCCTTGATGATGATGTGCGGGTCGCTCGCGAAGATGGCGATGAACGGCCCTTTGGAAAACAGCACTCGGACCTGCGGGCGAGACATGTGTTCGCGGTGCAGCTTTAAACTGCCCAGCATCTCAGAAACTCCCTCCCAGACCCGTGCATCCTTTGGAGACTGGATATTTTTTAAAACTGTTTTTCATCCAATATTATTCTATCTGAACACAGCTGCTACTGAAGCCTCCATCTGGTTCTGCACCATCTGACACTGCACAGGTGACGGTGACGGCCTCGGGAGAAAACCAGTCCTCCCGTCCCATCTGGGACGCTGGCGGTCGACAGGAGAGGGCGGCCAGCCCGCGGAGAGGCCCTCGGGGACATGCGAGAGGCACGGCACACCGGTCTCTGCCGTCACACGCTGTTGCTCAGCCACACCTCACGGAGAGGCACGCATGTGCGGCTTTAACAAAACACGGCGAACCGCGCGCCCTGCTGCTCTCAGCCTCACCAGACCGTCCGCACAGACGCTGGGCCACACGGACCGCGACCGCGAGCCTCCCCTTCATTTCTCTCACTCCGCCAGACGTGCATGTTTTTCTACACCTGTCTACGAACGTTCACTCTCGGTTCGTTTCTGCATAAAAGAAGGGTGGCTTTTTACGAAAGAAAAAGTGCAATTCCAATGCCCCCGCGAAGCTGTGCCCGCAGCCACCCTCCAGCGTGGACGGAGCCTGCGGGCGGCGGGCACACCGTGTCCAGCATCTGCAGCACTTTGTCCTGCTCGCAGGCGTCCAGCCCGTCGATGATGACCACCAGCCGCGTCTGGTTCTGCGTGAAGCTGTCGATGGTCTTGGCCATCCTGGCCATCAGCTCCACCTCGCACTTGAGAACCTGCGCGCGCGAGAGAGAGACAGACGCACTGGGGGCGGCGCATTCGGAGCCTCACAGAAGCCACCGACGAGGACACTCCCGGCCTTCCTGCTGCCACGGTCCCCGACCCCAAGGGAGGGCTCCACGGGGGACAGCGGCTTCACACTGACAGCAGTTCCCCCCACAAGGAGGGACGCCCCGTCACGGCCTTTGAAAAAGTTACTCAATTGGGCTGAGCGACTTCTCTCCAAGATCACATTCTCTGAAGGTCACAAATCTGAGACCTGAATGGAAATCTAAGTGACCCAACCCCTGCGGCTCCTGACGGGACGTGGCCTTTAATTCAAGGACGTTGTCCTCAGTCCCTCTGCTCTGCCGGGTCCAGGCCCCGAGGACCCAGGCCACTAGGCAGGAATCACACCGTGAAGGACCCCTTTCGCTAGCTCCTTTGCGTCTCTTATAAAAGTCTCTTTTATAGAAAGATGCTCTTGTTCTAACTTTTCCCACCCAATGTGCATTTCCACAGGAGAAACCTGGGCTGAAACTGAAGCCACCACGGTGCTGTGCCCTGAGAGAGAGCACGCCCCACAGCCCCGCGGGCAGGGCCCCGGGCGCCCCGCAAGCACCTTCCTCCAGCCCCGAGGGCAGCGCCCCAGGTGCCCCGCAAGCACCGTCCTCCAGCCCCGAGGGCAGGGCCCAGGCGCCCCGCAAGCACCTTCCTCCAGCTCCGAGGGCAGGGCCCCAGGCGCCCGAGAGCGGCGTCCGCCAGCCCCTAGCGAGCGCGCACTTCATGAAGCTTCGCTCTTCAGCTTGTCAGCTG